AATATTTTACGTTATAATGTGTAATGTAAAAAAAAAATTATAAAATTAGTGCTAATTATTTACACCTAAATAGATTAAATATAGTGTATATAATGCAACACAATAATTTAATTACTTGAGAAATAACTAAATATGAGATAAAAAATGATTTTTATACGCACTCAAAACGTAAACGAAAGAGATCTCAGAACCATCAGTTATATTGAAGTAAAAAGTATAGCCGTTATATAACATATATAAATATATTATATAGAATTACAGTATTTATTTGTTTATATATAGAAAATGCAGTATTTTAACAGTAGAAATAATGAGAACTAGCTTTGACCAGTACTGCACGATTCTCCTGTTCCTAATTATTACAATTTATACATATAATGTATTATATATTATAATATGATTATAAATTATATATTATAATATTATTATATATTATAATATAATTATAATATGATTATAAAGATATTATATATAATTATAAAGATATTATATATAATTATAATATGATTATAAATATTAACACCTAACTTAAAAAATTCTTTTTCTAATTTCGAAAATGTACAATTAGATAAAATTATATTATATTATCACCAATGTTTTAAAAATAAAAGTCCATTACAAAGCTAATTCAAACGATACTCGAATGTGCATAGATTAAAATTGAAACTCATTAAGTAGTGACGTCTCTATCATTGACTTCATTACGCTTTTACAATTAAAACTATTAGTATCTTTTGGAAATATTTTATCTGTCGCGGCAGCATTAACAGACATAACAATAATCATCGCAAAAATTATCAAAAATATGTATTCTATCTTAATCTTGTCTCTCATTTGGAGACCTCCAGAGGTCAAAGTTTCCTGATACGCGTTTCTAGAAATCAGTTTTCTGATATGCACTGCTATAGAAGTCAATGTTCTGACGCGCGTACAGTTATCATAATAGTACCGGCGTATTTTTACGTACAAAATACATACTTTAGTGTATTTGCCGATAACGGCGATGACTATCGGTAGATTACGCCACGTCGTGCTCTTTTCTTTTTTTTTTCTTTTTCTCGCGTATCGCGTGCACTCGCGTTTCGGGAAAGGATTTACGAAGGCGACGTTTACGATCCTCGCTTTTATCGCGGTCCAGGAGCGAAAGAACGTTTTCCGCGCGCGCGTATCCTTGTCCGGGCCGTATCTACATCTGTATTCTATTACCTTAAAACGGAGCGCTCAAGCCCGACGTCCGTCACGAGTACGGGCGTTCGGCCTTCTAAACGTCGTAAAACCCGTCTTCGCGCGCGCGAGACACGAGCTGCATGGTACACTTTTTGCTCGTCCACACGGACGATCGTCGATAAGCGAATTAATGAATTGCCGCCGCCGCCGCTGCCACCACCGCCGCCGGACACCCGCTGGACCTCACACGCACCTGCCTGCTTCTGACTCGCAAAGGCAGCAAATACTGTCTCTTTGAAGGTAAACGCATTCCGTGGATGGTGGCCACACGATGTTTGGATCGGGTGGGGGACGGTTAAACAATCGGTGGGGGGAAAACGATTCATCTTAAAGTTGTGAAGAAACGACCGCGGAGACCGTTTAAAGCCCATGGCACATAGAAAAACGTAAAGCAGTAAGACGTAAGTAGTAAGCAAATCGGCCACAGTTGGAAAATGTAAGACAATAATCTTACGTCTCTAATGTGATTAGCCAATTCGCTTACTGCTTACGTCTTACTGCTTTACGTTTTTCTATAAGTGCCATGGGCTTGACGGTTGTATCCCCAATCGAACAGATGGTCCCTATATCTTTGGAAAAATATCCTCGGAAAACAGTTTCGAAATGCGTGATTACAAACGACCTGACAGTAAGGAAATAGCGCATTAATATTAAAATCATAAATATATTTATATATTTAAAACGAAAATATATCGAGTCTTGCAGCATCGTCTGAGAAATGTCAGAAGCAGTTCCAAATACAGCAATTTCATCTATTATTGTAAAACACTTTTTACATGCTGGAAAAGGTTGGATGTCCGAAAATCCGAAACGCGGCGGACACACGCTCACTGACAAATATACTCAAAGCCGTTGCTCCAATTCACGCTGCGGGCTTTTTCGAAGTACGATCGATGCGACGTAAATTATAATGTATTATATTATCAATGTGCACACGTTTTGTAAATATTGAAAGTACCCGTGACTCCAAGTTTAATGAGCGATCCTGTTGCTCGATATGCTAGCAATTTAATATGTATTCCTATGTGATGCACGAAATGCTCTCGTCAATGTCGACAGAGTGCTTTTGACACACGCACTGTATAATATATGCCGTGTTCAACTCGTTCATAATTAATGTAGAATAAAGATCCATTAATATCAAAAGTCGCGAAAGGGATATTTTACGCGGCGTTACCCAGTATATTGAAAGGCTCTGAAGAAATATCGTTTGTAACTGGTTTCAACTAGCCGATTCTGGCTCGCATCGCCTATCTATGCGCGTATGAGCTGCAGTTTTGCTATATCGTGTGAAAGTGGGTAAGTGATAAAAAGAAATCAGAATGGATTAATAAATATAATCTATGGCCATCAAGTAGCTTTGCGAACTTTTTATTGCCGAATTAATTCCCGATTTGTCGTATATCTTTTAATAGTAATATCTTAACAATCGGACGAGGAGAGAGAGTGTG